AGTCCATGTATTTTATGTTCGAGCTAAAGCTGACCCTTTTACTTCAGTGTTTTCAGATCTTTGTCTTTAGTCTCATTGTCCCAAGTGTGGGAAAGGACGTAATGGTCATGTTTTGTTTTGTTTTTGAGATAAAAGTTGCATTGTACTTTGTAATTAGCCAAGTCGAGTTAGGTAGGAGCTTGTTCAGTGCTCTGCTAATTAGCAGTGGTAGCTACAGCTAACGGCTTTTTCATCTCCCTCCTTTGGGTAGAAATGTGTACACAACTTTTATAGCGTGGATCTTGGCAACATTATTTTCCCCTTTAACTCCGTAGAAGCCAAAATATTTCTGAACACTGGCTTTTAATGTAGAAGGAGCCGTTTCATGTCTCGGTCAGATTCGCTTTCACTGTGTTGTATAAAATCTGGGCGCTGCACTCCTGCAATTCAGAATGTTGCTTGTTAAGTTCCCTAACACAGTGTCATTAGCATTAAATGACCAAGAGTCATGTGCCGCATGCACCGCGATGCATCATATATATATCTATTATAAGCCCTCATTAGAGTTGCAAAATGTAATGCTTAGGCATAATCATCGCTATGTACGTGTGCATAATAGTCACATCGTAGGTCCTGCAATGTAGGAGTGTTATCATGGGATTCAACCACTAAACCATAAGTCATTGCACTAAACGGCTGCGTGTTATGCCTTTAATTTTGACAAGTTGCTTTTGCCGGCTGTAGTAAGTAGCTTCATGTCAAAAAACCTAAAACTTTCATTTTGTAGTGAAACTTCTGAGACAAATAAATAAATAAATAAATTAAAACAACCTAAAGTGTTAGTCATTTGTTGAAAATTCCTTTTTTTTATATCGCAAAACGGCAAAAAAAGTCTCCACCAAAATAAAATAAAATAAAACAGGTCACACACTCCAGTGTTAATATCTACTGTACTAATATTTTGTTGGATCACCTTTAGCTTTGCACGCATTCACTGTGGCATTGTTTCGATAAGCTTCCTAGACCTGACCAACTGCAGCAACCCCAGACCATAACACTGCCTCCACAAGCTGGTAAAGTACTACACATGATGGGAGTACCTTGAAGATGATGGGTCCTCACTATCCTTCCAGTTTTTAATAATGTGTCAGACAGTTCCTAACCCAATTTTAGTATTTTCTGCAATCTCCTTAGATGTTTTCCCTGCTTGATGCCAATGATTTGACCCTTCTCAAACAGACTTACATCTTTTCCCTGACCACAGGATGTGTCTTTCCACATCCTTGTTCTCAGGCTTGTACACATTTGCTTAATTAAATCCAGGTGGCAACTTTTTTTTGGCTGGGCAGCGTACATCACAGGGTCAGATCACACGGCAATGTCAGTTTTTTGCAATATCCTGCAGTCCTAACCCCTATCCTGGTACATCATTTTAGAACTTAAAGATATGCTCACTTTTCACAATGACAAGTTATTGTCTATGAAGCTTCAACATTTCACCTTCACATGCAACACCAAATTTGTTAGGATTCTCAAAAAAATGCCATATGGTGCACTTTTGGTTACATTTTTTGTGTTTCCTGAAAAACCTGAAAGAAATTAAGTAGGCAATTGTTTTAGGAAGGTGTCGACATTTATCTTCCTTAGCGTGTATGTCTTGTTTAGACTAGTCCCACATGGGAGATGCAAAGTCATTTCACCTCCTGGATGGCAGCCTGGTGGACAAAAAGCCTCCAGAAATGCTGTTTGTTACCTCTCAGCACTGCTGCTCTCTTCCCTTCTGCCCCATCGCAATTTATTTGATCCATCTCCTCTGCATTTTGCCATCAACTACCCCCTGCTCATCTCTTTCTTTCATTTTCCACGTTAACTTTAACACCTCTTCTCAATTCAAATCATCCCTATATTTCAGCTCTGCATCCATTCATTTCTCCTGCTTTCCATTTCATTATAGATTGCTCCTTTACTATGCTGCCTTGACATACACGCGTGCATCCACCGACTCTCTCTCTCTCTCTCACACACACACACACACACACACACACACACACACACACACACACACACTGCTCTGCCTACTGCACAGTCAGCACTTCCGTTCTGCAGTCCTCTGCGGACATACAAGTGTGCTGATTTCCACTTTTACAGCCCACTGTAACTAGTCTTTTTAAAGCATCTCCACAGCTATCATTCAAAACTGGCAGCAAAATTCTTATAATCTAATACCCATCGTGCATGCTACAATTACCCATATAAATGCAAAAAAAGTGCAACTGAACACACTGCAGAAACTCATACAAAAACACAGCTAATGACATAAAAAGAGTGCACACTGTAGATGCCGACATGACATCATGCATTTCTCCAAACTAAACAGGAAAACAAACAGTCATTGATCATCATACTTGTCTGCAGTTCGTACTCCCTAATCAGAACCATTCATCTTGCTTTCCTCACACATGCACACACACATTCACACACACACAAACATATATTAAGATGTTCAGAGCTCTTTGTTACTTCCATTAGGTCTCTGGGGCTGATGGGATTAGTCTTCTCTGACACAGAACAGAACAAACAGGTTATGCACATAGATGTTTCATGTTGGTTATTAAGGCAACCATGTTATTTATGAGTGTTTCTGTGGCTCGTTGGGCAGTCAACAAAACAAAGCACTCTTCCTTGCTTTAAGACAAACAGTGATGTTTGAGTCTTCACATGTCTTGTTTTAAACAAAATAGCAGGATTACTACAATGCAAAGCTTGGAGTAAACACTGCAGTGACATTTAATGACAACTTAGTAAAGATTATTGATGGGGTAGTGCAGCGGTTGTAATACAGCAGGGTTGGTTTTAAAGCATAGATGGTAGTTGCTGGTGCAGACTCGGGGATGATACATTTTGTTTGTTTACCAGAGATAAAGTCCTGGGCTGGAGCCTCCAGAACATATGGGTACCCTGACCCTAGAGGACAAACAAACCATATAAGATTATTATACAATGCATTAAAATATTCTGTGGTTGTGTATTCCACCACCACCCCTCCGATTCATTTTTCATTTTATACAAGCTTCCTTTTCATCACTGCAAAAGAAAAAAAAAGTCTACATAATGTTATTACTTCAAGATTGATGTAGGCTCTGTGAAAACTTAGCTGCACAACAAATGAACAAGAAATGGAGGAGAGGGTGGAGGATAACGAGAGTGATGAGACCGAAAGAGCAGAAATATTACGATGCAGTGCCTAATAAAAATATTCACCTCCTTGAGTTGTTATAATTTGCTCATGGTCAATATAAATTAGCATTTTTAGCAAAAATAAAAACAAATAAAAATTGTCAATGTTGAAGTGAAATTAAATTTATATGGAGTAATCCTAATTGAATGGAAATATGTACTGTGAAATAAGTGATAGCATAAATGTTTAACTATTTAAAAGTGACAATCCTAAATCAACTCAGAAAACAGAATTTTCAAAAAGTACAAGTCGGAGGATGGAAACAAAAGGTTTTCCAAATCTCTGCAAAAGTTCTGTTATATTTGTGATGAAGAAATGGAAAGAAATTGGTACATTTGTAAATCTGATCAGACCGCCTCATAAACTGAGTGACATAAATAAAATAAAATATCCAAGGGACAGGTTTTATGGGTACTGTAAATGTTGGATGAGTGAAGTTGAGATAAAGAAGGAAAGAGGAGAACAAAAAAATAGAAAAAATATAATGACAAATTAAGAACAGATTAACAAGGTAACAGGACAATAAATGAAGATCTGTCACAATCGCCTGTAGAATGATTGATTCAAATATTAAAACAGTAATATTCATTGACAGATAATGAATTTGAGAGCTGCACAAAGACAGTCAGCCTGTTAGGAGTTGGATTATGGATGATGCAAGGTTTGAACATGCATGCGTCATCTTTGCAAAAATAAAACATCTTGATCACCGTCTGGTGGCTGACTGCAATTAGAGCTGTCACAACAGCAGTTTACATCACAGAAAGATCAAGGCAAAAGGATTTACAAGAACAAATAAGTTTCAATAAGACTACTTTTGAGCTAAAGTAGGTGAAGTATTAAACAGTTGTGCATTTTAAATGTATATTTTCTTTTTTCCTCATTTCTCTTATTTTTTCCGCTTACTCAAAAGTTCCATTTATCAAAAAATAAAAATCAAATAAGGATATGACATGAAGCACAGTTGGGGGGAAAAGGGCAGAACAAGATCATATAACTGCACCTTTCTCACAAGCAATGATCCTGACGTTAACATTCATCAACAAATGAAACCTAAATATAAAACCTACTGAAAAGAATATCAACAATCTTAAAAGCTATTGTTCCATTGGTTCATAGCATTGTTTTATCTCTCAAAAGCCTTTTTGTTTGATTAGTAAATTGTTTTCATGTCATCATTCAGCTCATTCCATAATTTCACTCCACTCATTCAGATCTGTTGGTGCTGTTCCTGCAAAATAACTTTTAAAAGTGTTTCCTTTTATGATCTAAATAACTAAATAGANCTTTATGTTCAACAAATTGGGCCCCGAGGTCAAAAAGGTTAAGAACACCTGAGCTATAAGAAAGTTAACGTACAGCCCTGGCAACAAGAAGTAAACAGATATCCGTCATCTGTGAGGGATTTAATGAATGAATAAGTAAGTTTTGGGTTTTTCTGGAGTGGAACTGAAAGAAAACCTTAATGTTTTAATACAAGATATTGAAGCAGGTAGGAGTTACACTGTTAGAAGGACAGAGGAAGTGTTTTTTTCTTGTTTGAGAGGCGCAGAGTGACAGATGCTGGAAATCAGAGGGAGYATTTTTATCCAGCACCAAGTGAAATGATGGAGCCAGGAGGCAGTGACAGCTCAGCCACCATGAATTAATTTTCAGTCACCCCAGTCATTTGAAGAAACTGCTTTTAAGAAATACATTCCTCAAATGATCGGTGTTGATTTAACACAATAACGAGACCCTGAAGTGTTCCCATTGAAACACCTCTGACTGCAATCAAACATACTGTGGTTACAAGTTCCAGTTGCCGGCAATAATGTTGCTCCGTCTTCACCAGTTCTTTGGCTGTTCGACTGCGTTTCCTCTCCCAGCGGTCTCTCTGCTCCTGGATGCTGCTGCACCCAGTCAGACTGGAGGGATGAGGGGAGAAACTCATGGTCCTCGTGAGAAGGACACTGCAGAAACACAAGCCAGACCAGGTCAGTATCACACACAGAAGCCACAACGCTAAGCAGCTAAATAAAACTACAAACACAAGTTTATGTCCTTGTTTTTAAGGTTAGTTTGGTTTCTTTAGTTTGCAATAGATTTCTACAGGTCTGCTGTGATAACTGACTCCAGCTAATTGTTAAAATGGGTCTTTTTTTGATGTTACATGTTTGTTAGGATGGTCCCATGAGATGTAGAGGTTTAACCTTGAAACAAAATGTGGCGGGAGGGGGACCAACACTTCAGCACATTAGTCATCCTAGCAAAATCCTAACCTGTATTATACGATTTTTTTCTTCTCTCGGCCACCTTTCATTTCATTTTAATTGTATTTTCTTTTTTATTGCACATAGAATTTTGTTTCATGAAATGAATAAAGTTTATAATTAACTAACTAAATATGCGACTTTAAAAATCAGACTATTTGAATGTGTAATATTCTAATTTTATGTAAAACTCCTACAACAAACAAAAGTTTAGAACTGACATCTGTTGCAACAAACTTCTATGCAATAACAGTAAGGGAATATCAAATACATAAAGTACTAAAACAATTTTATGACTTTTTTTTAAATTGCAATATATTTTACAAACTTGTCATTTTTATATAATTTATGTGAAGTTTATGGTTAAGTCTATGATTTAGCCAATTGAAATTTACCTTATATATAATCACAAGTGTTTATATTTATTCCATGTTATGGTTTGCTAAAATGATTAGTAACATAAATATAGGTATTCCCACTAATTATGCTTACCGGTACATTAAAAAAAACATTGTTTTTTTTTAGTAAAAAACAAATGGCAAAACTGAATCTAAAAAGCTGTTGTCTCATACAGCTCCCTGTGAAGATATGGCTCAAAAGTTTGCCGCTTTCACTGAAGTATTAATACAAAGAATATCTGTGTTGTGTATAGGCTCTGGGCTCACTGAAGATTAGAGGATAATACCTCAGAAAGTGGGGCTCGGACGGGCGAAGGGGCACATGCCGGGCCTACCGCTCCAGATTACACACAGCAGAGCAGAGGCACAGGAAGGAGTGATGGATTGCTAACCAAGAGGGAAGTGAAGAGTGACTATGGTAAGCACAAGCAAAGACATCAGTGAGAGAAACAGTCAAAAGAATTAAGACTGGAAAAATTAGATGAGAAATAAGAAAAAAGGATAAGAAGAAAAAGTTAATGGGATAACAAAAGAAAAAGCTGAAAAATAATATTAGTGTTGAATTGCAGAATGTTATAGAGCAAGGTTCCCCAAACTTTTTCCTGTGAGGGCCACATAACGTTTCCCTTCTTTGATGGGGGGCCGGGGTCAGTTTTTAACAGAAAACGTGCGACGGTCGCAGGGGTGCCTTAACGTAAACATTTGTTTTTCAGAAACCAGAAAATAAATAATAATACTATTAATGAAATAACAGTATTTATGAAATAAATAATAATCAAATAATCCTCTCTGGGATACTTGCAGAAAAAGTTAGAAAATGAATACAACTATCTGTGAAATAAATAACATAATAATCCTAGAGGAAGAGGAAGATGCCCTTCATCTCTGACTCAGGACTGGCAGCACACATTATTTTCCGAATTTGACTGGATTTTTAACACAATGACGGAAAAATCTGAAGGCCGTCCGTCATTTTGACAGATTGCAATTAACACCCCTGACCTCTTAAGCCTGGAAGACTTAATAAATAAGCCAGGTGAGGTGGAGAAAAAAAATAATGTTCCACAAGATGTCTCTGTGGCATCACACTCACACACAGACATTTTCAGCTTTACGCAAGGAGTAGGTCTACATCACGGCGGTGTCTTATTTAATCTAAAAATAAATAAAAGATTTCCATCTGATCATCATCTCAGATCTAGACACCATACTAAATGCATCTCCTGGAGCTGATTGTGCATTGAAGAGTTAAAGGACAGGAGGCTTTGGAGCATCTGTGAGGCACAGCTCAACCAGTGTTAAGAGACGAGCACCTGCTGCGGTATTTCCTCCTTCTAAAGCCACAGCTTGTGGGATTTGTAAATAATGTCTTGCTGACTTCTGATCACTTTGACTGGAGAAATGTTTTCTGATTTTTAAACTTTGGCTGAAGTGGTGCTTGTTATTTCAACTGTGTCGCAGCAGAGCGTGGGTTAGTCTTCAGAGCCACTGGCGCCCGCAGATTTAGACTCACTATACGCAACTTAGAATAAAATAGAATAGAATAGAAATAGCCTTTATTGTCCCGCAGCGGGGAAATTCAGGTGTCACAGCAGCATTAGTACAAAGGTTCACACACTAGTTACTTTACAAACTATAGACAGCACACACAAAACAAAATTAACACTGACTAGCCATGATACAACTACTAATAATAAAATTATAAAGAATTGTGCAAGAGTAGAAAACAATGTTTTGTTTCAGAATCCAACATTAGGAATCAGAAACTGCCTGTTTTCAGTGCAAAAACAATCTCAACAGACCAATAACTGTAAACTGAAATATTACAATGCAGACAAAAAATACAGACGTGCAATTACAACAGAGTATAGTGCAAATGATTGTGCAGCAGCAGGTGTGTAAACATTTATTGTGATTTTTGTAAACACTTGTCATTTTTGGGTGTGGTGCTTGTTATAGAGTCTGACAGCTGCTGGGAGGAAGGATCTGTGGTAACGCTCCTTTGTGCACCTCGAATGCAGCAGTCTGTCGCTGAAGGAGCTCTCTAGTTCAGCCACAGCTTCATGCATGGGATGGGAGACGTTCATCAATGATGTTATTTTAGTCAGAGTTCTTCTGTCTCCCACCACCTGCACTGTGTCGAGGGGGCATCCCAGCTCAGAGCTGGACTTCCTGATGAGCTTATCTAACTGCTTCCTCTCAGCTGTAGATAAGCTGCCGCTCCAGCTAACTACCCCATAGAAGATGGCTGATGCCACCACAGAGTCAAAAAAGATCTTCAGGAGTGCCCCCTGAACTCCAAAAGACCTTAGCAGGTAGAGTCTGCTCTGACCCTTCCTTCCTGTAAAGACCATCCCTGTTGTGAGTCCAGTCCAGTTTATTGTTCAGGTGAACACCCAGGTACTTATCAAAGTCCACTATTTCAATGTCCACTCCCTGGATGTTCACCGGTGTCAGTGGGGTGGGTCCGTGTCTGCTGAAATCCACCACCTGCTCCTTGGTTTTAGCAGCGTTGATCAGGAGGTGTTTCCGCTGGCACCAGTCAACTGTCTGTAGTTTGAGTCGTCCTCACCTGTCATGAGACTGACTATGACAGAGTCATCAGAGAACTTATGGAGGCAGCAGCCCGGGGTGTTGGTGAAGTGAACTTAAGATTTTCCTTAGAGTATTTTAATTATTAGATATTAATAATAATAATAATAATAATAATAATAATAATAATAATAATAATAATAATAATAATAATAATAATAATAATAATAATAATAATAATAATAATAATAATAATAATAATATTTTAAAACAATTGCAGCGGCACATTGGGATTAACAGCTGACTGCATCTCTGCTTTCATGCCTTTCTCTCTTCTTGTCCTGCACAGGAGGCAGAGACAGAAATAAGGAGGCATTATCTAAAGTTGCAAACTGCAACCGCTAAATAACGTTTGTAAATTTTTTTGTTTGTTTTTTGTTTTACATTTCGTACGGTAACTGAGTCAAAAGCGGGACAGTGTGCGTGCGTCACAGTGCGCGCTGGATCTGGTGTGAGACAGATGCGCTGTCTTTCAGGACTGTGCGCATCGAGCTCATGTGGCCCGTAGTCTGAGGTACACTGATGAGATTTTCTCAGATAAAATAGTCAAGGATTCACGGGGCAGACTAAAAAATCATAATGTCTCTTTGGTATTTTTCAGGGGGCCGGGCCAAATGTGGAGGCGGGCCGGGTCCGTAGTTTGGGGGCCACTGTGTGGCTAAAAAATGACCTGATTGAGAAAAATAGGGGCAAACTATTCTACAATGTACACCAACTTTTCTGAACTCTTTGAAATTTAATAACCTGCTGTTTGTATGTGACTTGTCTTTAAATCTTGTGTTAATTTCTCGATCTAATCAGACAGAAATAAATCATGGTTTTAACAAAGCTCTGGCCTTCTGCTTACTGCTGCACTCCAGCCTGTCAACTGCAACAAGGTAACTGGATTACAGAAACTCTGCACTGTGCTCAAACTGTACCTAATCAAAATGTACAGAATTTTGCAGTTCCAACTGCATCATGCGCACTTAAAAAAAAGGTAAATCAGAATTGGTTTCTGAGAAATGAACTAATGTATTTAACCGTTTGATCAATTATGCCTTCAACAGTTTATTACATAGCTGAAGAAACAATCATGCACCACTTTTGTCCTCCCGGCTGTACACTCCATCTTGCTCTGCTCTCCCTCATTATTCACCTTCACTGTCTTCAGTTTTTCCAAAGTGTTTCAGCAGACCTGGAGAAATTCAAGCTGGGCACAGCATTATTCTTTTAAACAGCTCCCAGTGGCTTTAGACACTCAATGACTTTGGCAATCCAGAGAGTCCCTTGGTGACAGCATCACTGCTGGGATAGATGGTCTGCCACATGATAGCCACTGTGGAGAAATGATACATGTCCAGAGGAATAGTCAAAGGGATGTCAACATGAACAAATAATTTATCCAAGATAGATTCCCCAAAGCTTACACAAATACCACAAGACCCTTGAAGAGAGCAAAGTACCATATTTGTGTAAAACGTCTTTGCATTTTGCATAAATTATAAAAGACAACTACCGATTCTGCAGTGAAAACATAAATGACAAGTAACTTTCGGCCTCAACTAAGGGCCTCAGCGTTTTACTGTATATACAAATTTTTTTTGACTCGATTGAATGAGGAAACTGATGGCAGATTGCTGTTTTTATACATATAATGATCTGATGTTTCGTGCTCATGACGGGATGTGTATCATGTTGAACAGTCATTTGAAAAACAAATAAATTTTA